AAATGGGGACTTCACATTCCTCGAAAGAACGTCCTTCTTTCTATGGAGAGCGCGGTATCAAACACCTCTCCTCGGTATGAGGCCACATCAGACTGGAAATGAGGAGTTACGGTGTATCTAAAAGATACAAGAGATCTCCCTCTATGTGTCTATTGTGACTGGGACTGAATGGGACAACTTGTCCCATTCAGTCCCAAATCCAAATGTTCAACTTGTCACCAGAACAGGAATAGAGGGGAAATCTTCCAATGGAGACGCAACAGACAACTAAGGAGATTAAGCATCATCTAGACCCTTGGCTCTCAACTGGTGGGTCGTGACCCAAAAGTGGGTCGCTAGCCCATGTTCAGTGGGTCACCGCATGCCCTCCACTTTTCTAGGCGAGAGGTCCCTCAGGATGGGGCTATGAAGCTCCATCCATAGGTGTATTGCTTGTACAGCTCCCTCATGTGCCCTGTAGAGGTGCCTTGACCGGAGTGATGTCACAGTCTTATTCCCGTCACTTCTACAGGGCTTTACAAGCCATACACATATGGATGGAGCTCTATCACGGCACAAAAGCCCAGGCTGAGGATCCACTCCAGTTCTCGTTATCTTTTTTTTGGACTGTGTGTGTGTGTCAATGTCTGGGAGTGCGTGAGATTGTGTCTCGGGGTTGTGTGCGTTTGAGGGCCCGTTCATATTAGCACAGTGCGTTAATCGCATTGTTCCCCGCAATCGAACCCACCGCGCATTCTGGTGTGGCATTCATTTCAATGGCACCCCAAAGGCACCTCCCACCCACAGTTCAATCGCCCTCACCGGAACGCGTGGTACTGCAATGCCGTACGTTCCACTGCTGTGTGACTTGGGTCACAACTTAATGACCGAGGACGAATGTGGGTCCTGAGGTTACAAAGGTTGAGAACCACTGATCTAGACCTTTTCCTCCCACATCTGACTGTCCCTGGCTCCGCCCCTTTCATTCAGGGATTTCATTTCTGTCATTAATGGAGACTCAGCATCACATGTGGGTGTGGCCTAGGACAGTGATGGTTGGGCCCCCACAGGGCCCGGATCTCACCACCATGGAGTCTGTCTGGGATCACATGAAGAGACGGAAGGATTTGAGGCAGGAGACATCCACAGAACTGCGCTCAGTTCTCCAAGATGTACCCAGAACAACCTACCTGCAGAGTTCCTTCAACACCTGTGTTCAAGTAAAGGGGGTCACCCCAAATATTGATGGGAAGAAGGCAAATGGTGGGTCACCCCAAATATTGATTGGAAGGCAAAGGTGGGGTCACCCCAAATATTAATTGGAAGAAGGCAAAGGGGGCAGTGGCGTCACAAGGAGGGTGCGAGGGGTGCGGCCCGCACCCGGGTGACACCATTGGAGGGGTGACACCAACATGACCCACAGTCATTTTGGTGTCACCCCCCTCTGAAAAGTCGGGCGCTCGGTCATGGACAGTATCAGGAGAGAGGAGGGGACCCGGCGGCATACATTATCCCACCGGGTGACTGTCCCCTCCTCTCTATAAGAATACTGCCGCGCGTGAGCGATAACGTCATCGCGCATGCGCAGTGACGTTTTGGCGGGGTGACACTCGGTTACCGCTCCGGGTGTCACCCTGCCTCGGGACGCCCCTGAAAGGGGGGTCACCCCGAATATTGATCGGGAGGCAAAGGGGGGTCACCCCAAATATTAATTGGAAGGAGGCAAAGGGGGGTCACCCCAAATATTGATCAGAAGGAGGCAAACGGGGGTCACCCTAAATATTGATTGGAAGGAGGCAAAGGGGGGGGTCACCCCAAATATTGATTGGAAGGAGGCAAAGGGGGGTCACCCCAAATATTGATCAGAAGGAGGCAAACGGGGGTCACCCTAAATATTGATTGGAAGGAGGCAAAGGGGGGGGTCACCCCAAATATTGATTGGAAGGAGGCAAAGGGGGGTCACCCCAAATATTGATCGGAAGGCAAAGGGGGGTCACCCCAAATATTGATTGGAAGAACGCAAAAGGGGGGTTACCCAAATTTTGATTGGATTTGGATCTCCTCTTCATTTATTGATAAAAATAAACTATTTACACTCATTTCTGAAACATTCTTACTTTACGGCATTACAGCACCTCACCAAAACCTCTGCACAGTACTGTATGTGCATATACACATGTGTGTGTTACACGTGTGTGTGTGTGTGTGTTACACGTGTGTGTGTGTGTGTGTTACACCAGAATACACTTTACCACTGAAACAGATACAAGAACAGGAAGATGCTAATAAAATATACTCAGAGAACAGAAGGAAATCAGACATCAGCCGCCGCAGTCCATCCGCTCCGAGTGCCGCAGAACATCCCAATTCACAGCAATTAAATCTCTAGTTAACACGGCCGCATCCCCGCGCCGAGCGTCTCCGCGCCGCCGTCATTGAACAGCTCAGAACGCAGCGCGGACACACAGGCTGCTTACACGGCTTTAGCTGGAAACTAATGACGGTCTTACAGGATTAAGGAGGCGGGTACAAGACAATTATGGCGGCGACACGCCGTGTTCTTGTTCTATCG